CGGTTTCGGGTAAAACCAAAAACCCGGACCAAATAGCCAGCCCTACCTGCTAAGATGATATCATCAACATACACAAGTAACACAACCAACCTGCCTTGGACCCTTTTAGTAAACATTGAATAATCCGAAGCTGATTGTGAGAAACCATTTTTGATCAAGGAGCAGGTCCGTTTGGCAAACCACTGCCTACTGGCTTGTTTTAAACCATCTAGTGACTTCGTCAACCTGCAGACCTTCCCTTCACTACCTTCCAATCCAGGTGGTGGTGTCATGTACACCTCTTCATCCAAATCTCCATGCAAAAAGGCATTTGTTGAGATTGTTACTATAATGTATTGTTTAGAATTCATCATTTTTTATTTTTATTTTTGGTAGAAACAATACATGGATTACATTTGTGATGTGACAGAAACTAGCACTCAAAATAAGTGATTGTTATATCTCAACTTTTAGTTGTGATTGTTGAGATAGTTGAGTTGAGATTGTTTTGTCTCAACTTTTAGTTGTGATTGTTGAGATAGTTGAGTTGAGATTGTTTTGTCTAAGCTTTTAGCTTATGTGACATACACAATGCATCTAATCCGACAATACATATATAATATTATAAATGCATTCACAACAAAACATCTATTTAACAATCACAACTTTCAAACGACCACTTAAAATTCTAAATCAATATTATCATTTGGATGATTTTTTTCTTAATACGATTATGTTAGTTTATGAGATTTAAGGGTATTTGATAATGTCAATACTTTAGTGGTCTTTTATTTAAAATTTGAATTGAAAGATCGTATCTACTAGAGGTTTGACCATAAAACTCACACCCTAGGCTAAATCGATACGTGATATTTAGCAATATGAAACGGTTGAACCACAGTTAACTTATGATTTCAGTATAAAATACTCTACTACCAAATTTTTTGATACTATTACAATCATTTGGTTCAAACAATTCTTTTACGTGGTAACAAAAGTTTTAAGGCACATTTTGAACTATCTATTGCAAAAAAACATAAGACAGTTAGCGATTATGAGAATATGCGATAATGAGAATATGCGATCACATTCAACCCAAAAGACACTTTGCAACTTCTATATTTTTTAAATAAATCTATGATACTTATACCCTCGCTCATTCATCAACTTAATGAGTTACATATATTTCATGTGATATGATTTTCATAGGTTTTTATTTATTGAATTATTTCATGAAAAAATATTTGTTGCATGAAAATAACTACATTCTTGCTAGACATGTCTGCGATCTGTGAATAATTTGGAAATCCATACACAACACATTGTCCAACTAAATATTAGCAACAATTTAGCATCATGTCTTATATATTTCAAATTAAGTAACTTCAGATTCATTACCAACGGTGTGGTAAAAAAGAATGCTCTCTATTGGGAAAAACTTAAAGAACTTACTAAACTCTGTGAGAGACATTTTCTTTCATCTTAAAGGTTGATTATGTATGTATTATGAGAAACAACTCTAATATTCAACTATATGGTTTAATTAAGTAATGAATGACAATTAGTTATATTTATTTCATGTTCATTCAATAATTTAAAGTAATACTTATATTATATATTTTTTTCTCTTTTCATGGAAGTCTAAACACATTATGCATAGTTGGATCACTTTCAAATATGTTATGTGCATAACTAAAGTAGAAAACAATCATTTTATGGATTTCAAATTATCTATTATATATTCACTATTATATATCTTATTTTCTCGACAAAATTCATCCGACCAATAAGCCGGACCCTGTGCTAGTAATGACTATGCCACTAACCGCATAAACCATTGTGGTCGATGATTGGTTTTGTTTGGAGTAGTTGAGCTGCTGCTGAAGAGAAGAAATGGGAGATCTGTTTTGGTGTTCTGCCTTGTAATATTGTGCATTGACTAGGTCAGTGGTACTGCCGTGTAAGATTTCAATTGAGTGTTTGCTTCACGTTTGAATCCCATTAACACCGAAAGTGAATGGTCAATCGGCCATGGTACAACGACGCAATTGTGAATGATTGATACATGGAAATTATGGAATCTGATATTTTCGGCATTTTTAATCTACCAAAGCCATCAAAGTCCAACCCTATGTGGTTGAGTTTTAGTAGAAGGGTTTATATAGCTAACACTAATCAGCTGAGTAACAACTTGTAACAAGAAGGAGAAAACTATTATTAAAAGTCGAAGTCAATCGAGCTCCTCGTTTTTCTGTGAACTAGCTAGTTAGTTTCACACCAAATAAGGGGAAAAACACACGTAAATCTCCTGTCTTATTTGATTCATTATTACTTCTTCGAAATTTTCAAATGATCACATTCAATCCAATGATTGTTCATAGTTCATAGTCTAAGAACCTAATAGACATGATTGACACTATGATAATTTAATTATGGATTGACACTATGACCATGCATTGAGCATGGTCAAGGTTACTGGACTTCATTCTGGTTTGATACCTAGATTGAGGGAGTCCGATTGGCTGAAGAGTTCCCGAGAGTCCTGGCTGCTGCTGAATCTCTGAATTCCACCATCGCTGATTACCTTTCTATTTATGAGGGAAACTGTCAATGGGACATTCCATTGATCTATTCACTTCGGGGTGGGGCTGAAAGAGAGCGTATGAGGCTATTTGATCTACTTCATTCTATTCCATCTCAAATTTTTTTTGCAGGACCTGAAAGACCAAGTTGGCTTCCGTCTCCTACAACTGGTTTCAGCGTCCATTCGGCCTTTGAACAACTAGCCGTTGCGCACTCTGTGGGAACTGCGGAGTTTCCCTCAAAGGTGATTTGGCAAAGCATCGTGCCGAGCAAGATTCGCATCTTCTTATGGCTGGTCTTCCACAAACGCATCCTCACCATTGACAACCTGAAGAAGAAAGGATTCTACATTCCAAATAGATGTGTCCTTTGCAAGAGAGAAGAAGAGTCCCCGAACCACATCTTCATCACCTGTGCGTTGTCAAATTAGGTTTAGGGCAGACTGGAATGCTTTGTTAAAATAGAGGGAAGTGCTGATGCGGTTCTTGACATTTCTGAAAGAATTAGATTTTGGTCGCATGCTAATCCGACGAACCCAGCTCAAGAGTGGCTTTACACGCCTTCTGTTGGTGTGTTTTTGGTTAGAAAGAAACGCTAGAGTGTTTAAAGATGAAGAGTGACATATCCCTTCACTTGTGATGAAGATCGGCTACGTTATTTTTTGGTGGTTGACGGTAGCAAGAAAGGTCGATAAAGGGATTGTGGAGAGGTGGATCAAAGAGATGAAGGCCAGATTGTTCCCTATCAACTCGCAGCATCTCGTGATTTCGGGATCGCAGCTTCCCGTGGAGGAGATGTAGACCTTGTTTTCTTGGCATTTTTATTTGGCTTCTGCTGTTTCTTGTTTTTTGTTCTTTTGTAGAAGCTGATGCTGCCTAGCGCCTTGTTTTCTTTGTTTTTTCTTGGTATTTTTCTGTTCTGGTTGCTGTTTGGAAAGGGAGCAGAATTCTTCTTCTGCTGCTTCTGCGCTCTGCTGTTTTGAGCAGGGGTGGGGGAGTTCTTTCCATCTGCTCCTTTGGCTCGTTTGGTTTGCTTGTGGACCTGGTTGTGTTGTATTGTTCTTGTTCTTATTTTGTTTACCTCAATTAATATATACTAGTAAGGAAGCCCGCGCTCCGCGGCGGGGAGGTTATATTGGGAAAATGTAGAGTTTTTAGTGGAAATTTGGAGATTTTTTTGCACGTTAATAGTTTTTCCTGTGCATATCAGATACACAAACTTATTAAATATTGCAAGGCGGGTGTTACCATATAATGGAGCAAGACACATTGGTTGGTGTTAGATTTATTGATTGGGAAAGTACAACTTAGATATTTTGCTGTTTTGAATTGGATGTGGTTTAGAATAGTGCCATTTGGTGATGGTGGGGTAAGTGAAAGTTACCTAACCGCTACTTGAAATTTGTGGAGATATTTACATTTCCCCCTTGAAACTTCAAACAGCAGTACAAAAGGAGTGTTAGTTAAATAGGCAGGATGGTCGAAAAGCATAATTGCATGTCATGCAAGCACTCACAAGAGCAGAGGTAATATGGTAGATAGTTGATGATCAGAGTTTTGCCTATTAATTTTTTCCCCAGATAGATGCAGGAAAAGATTTATGTTTGTCAACATCTTAGCACAATTACTTTTTTCACAGGTAGGGACTGTTTTGATGAGTCTATTGCTGAGGCTGGCTGTGGTCGACTGCAGAAAGGATGGTAAACTCTAGAGGGGTTTCAGGCAAATATCCAGGTTTAGGAAGCTGAACATCAAACAAAAACCAAAGTCCATTCATGGCCACAATTTCTGGAGGGAAATATCCATGGTGTTGGGGGTGGCGCACTAATAGTTCGTCAGCTGTGACAACAAGCAAATATTCAGCGGTCTTTCCAAGTATGATAAAGCACGCCGAACCAGTAGTGTCTCCGACAGCCAAATGGATTTTGTAGCTGGAAAAATGTATCAGAAATTCAGGGTTCAGTTGTTCGTGGGTATTGTAATGGGAAAAAAACGCTGGATGCTAAACTAACCAATTTTGGGTTTCTTGAGGTATCAACTGGCCATGTTCATCACACCAAAAATCATTAGTGCTAGGAAACTCCCTAGTTGTCTTAAAACAAAAGGCACATCCTAAGTAAAACCACGGTCGTGAAGATTCTGCGGGGAGGACTTGTGCTAAGCAACGATATTGTGTAGCCTGCAGGGAAATAAAACAGGTGAGCAAAGTTAGTTAGGCAGGCAAGCACTTTGTTGGTTTAAGGGAAAAAGGGACTGTAAAAACGGTACCAGGAAGTGGTCAAGCAGGCAGATTAGACCGACTCTCGTGGCAGGTTTATCAACCTCTTCATCAATAGCTCGAAGCAGCTTCAAGATCTCCTTGGTGTCCTTCACTTCAGACCTCGAAGGCTACTACTAAACTTCTTTCATGTATGCAGAGCATTTGTCCGGTAGCACACCATCAACCTGACCAAGTTCTTCATTCAAATTAGCCGTTGCAGGCTTGCAGCAGCTGTTCGAATCCTTGTGACACAGCAGGAAAACAATCAGAACTGAAATAATAAACTGGAGAATATGATTATGGATATATAAATAGCTCCACAGCTGGTCTACCGTAGTAACCTTGACGGGATAATAAACCTGCCTGCGTGATTTTTTTTTATGAGCATCCAAATTCAGTAGCCCCAACGGCCCATCCACTCAGCCAAATCACCGGCCCTAGTTATGTAAACCTTCAATTCAGTAGAATAACAGTTGTAATCATGAGGCATTCGAACTTTACCGATAAATGATGGCCACATAGATTCTCATCTTGCTAATTATACTTATCTTATCAAATTTCGTGGCTTGAAATCAACCAGCTCTGACCAACTTGATCTCATCTAAATTTGTAATCTGCAGCATCACTTCACTATCGCCGCCATATTACAGATCAGAGGTCCAACCATGCAGGAAAAAGAAATTATATTCAAATACAGTAAGAGGTCATTGTGTCAATAGTTTAAATCGAGACTGCGGAGCTGGTCCATGACGTGTGATAGCTTTCCTGACAGATTTAAGGTGTACTATTAGTTCCACTAAAGCAGAATATGATGCTGATGGATGTCTGGTGTGATCTTTCACCTGCATGGAGCAATGGGATTATAAAGGATAAGAACAACATATAGATGATGTTAAGCATTGCAAAATGAAAGAATTATTTCGTAAAGTCACAAACCCAAATTCTGTTATCTATTGAAATTGAAGGCTAAATGTACACACAGCCTGCAACCTGTAGAGAGCATTGAACATGCAAACAAAGACGTACAGTATAAGTTCGCAATCACAAAACAGAACTTTTGGTAAGCAACTTTCACTACGCACAAGCAGTATACCATTGGGTACAATGAAAGACCCCACAAACAGTAACAGAAAAATAATACTTGCTGGTTTCACTCGCAAACTCCGAAGTCCTAGACCAATAATTCTGATCACATGAGTACCATTGCATGCTTCCATGAATTTGATTGCAACCAAATAGCATAATCTAATTGACTACAATCCAAACAAATTCTCAAGACAAAAAATATTCAATTCCTGGTAAATCCCTGCACAATTAACCACCCTCACGATTCATAACTTGACACTACACTATCAATAAAAAAATCAAAACATGAGCACCATAAACCCTCGGGCCAATCGAGGAATAGAAAGAGCCAGCTTCCACGGAGCAAGAGAATCAAATACCTCGGCATGGGTGAGAATGAAAGCGAGACTTGTTGAAATCGGGGCGCTAGGAGCAGTGCTCCAGCTGCTGCCAAATCTAGGACTTCATCAGTAGTTGAAGGTGCAATCAGAAGCTCCAAGAACGCGCAGATCTCCTTCACACCACCTTCTTGCTGCTGTCAAGACGTGCCTTATTACAGCTTCCCCAAGTTTGCACCAAATGTTGTCCTGTTGCTGTAGTTCGTGGATTCTACAGGTGGCATGTACAAATCATTTCAAATAGAATTCAAATAATGACCAATAACATAAATATAGATTCATACAGCACTATCCAGTTCACACAGTGGACTATAGACTATAATACTTGGGAACTGGAGAAGAGGACCCGTAAATTAGAGTAGCAAAGAAAGCAAGTAAATGGAAATGGCAAGTAAAATGATTTTTGGTACGCTAAAATGAAACCACATATAAGAGAACTAAATGCACAATGCAAAAAGCGAACACGGACGCAAAATTTCGGGGGATAAAGCAAAAAACAGATTTCATTAGACACTACCATAAAACAGAAGCATAACATCCAGATTCTAGAAACTGAAGTCAGTCATCACAAAACAAACCCAGCTTGCAATCCCCGTCCTGGATTTGGACGGGAGGAAGCAACATGAATGGAATTGTGGAAATTGGAGAGGAAAGAGCACATGTGAACATTAACAACAGGAGGGAAAACTCTTGAAAGGAAATCCAACGAAACCAAAATGGGGATGAAAACAATGTACCTATTCCTTGCTCAAGATGTTTCTGAGTTGGGATTGAGAAAATGACATACTTGTTCCTTCCCATATTTGATTATGAACTGTGATTGAAAATCTGAACAGACATGAGTATGAGAAACAGAGAGAAAAAGCAATTATCGGAGGTGGGAGGAAAGAAACATAGAGAAAAAGCAACCGTCGACGGATGACCATGTTTCCTCTTTCATGGCTATATATCATCGAACTGTCATCAACATGAGAATCTCTGAAGAGCAGAACTTTGACAACTCAAAGCCTAAGAGAGAAGCTTCTCCTTCTCCCTTTCCTTCATCGACATTATGAATTTTCTCAACCGATAGGAGCAAAGAAAGAAACGAAAATCAGAATGAAAGTAAACAACTAAAAGAGGTCTGAACCCCCCCCCCCCCCCCCCCCCGCTCTCAAACCAACAGACCTAATGTAATTTGGAAGGATTTTTACTACATTAAGAAGGGGTATTACCATGAAAGACGAAGTTTATATTGAAGCAGTATGTTAGAGACCTCTCACCAAATCCTAATTCCTTTGTCCATGTTTCATCTGTATGCTGTTCTCCCACCTACTCCAAAGCAAGGAAGCTAATAATGTTAAACTGAACAATATTAGTAAAAACCCCAATATAAATTGGCAAAATAAAGTACAACAGAGAGTAAATTTTGATTAGACTGACCCTTAAGCAAATGAATCATCGAGTATGCAAACACATACACAGAGGAAGCACTAATTTCGGTGTGACTGAGTGTACTCTAAGGCAATGACAAACAGAGATAAACAAATTCACGATAGGAACCACAACTAAATACAAAGAATTCTCTGATAATGATGAACAAATTCCAGTTTGATGTATGAAAAAGATAAACTATGCTCATAGTTATGGTATATAATAAATAAATCTATCTCATCCCATCAAGTCGGCTTTTTAGAATTTCGAACTACACCCTACTTCCTATCATTCATGTAGACTGTAAGTCGAGCACCTGAGGTCTCAGAAACAGCATAACAAAAACAACAAAAAGCTAATGCAGCAGGTTTAGAAGATTGTCATGATACAACCAACTGTGGTCCGTCTTATCATTACCACAAGTCCTACATATGCTATGAGACCTAGGAACTCTGCCAAGTCTCATTTGGGACATGAATGAGGCTTTGCTCTATGAGAAGGAGTTCCCTTCTCCAAGTGCCAGCGGAGTCGCTGAATTCTCCGATCAGCCCCATATCCTCCGTCACATTCTTACTCTACACAAGTCCTACATAGGTAACTCAAGCTATTATTGATTAAAGATGTAGAGTATGTTATAACGAAGCATATCCACACGCCTAAGAACCCAATGAAACATAAAAACAAATGAAGCTAAATAATTCACACTGATGGTGGTAGAGATCAACCAGCTAAAAAAACCCATAAGCAAAAGTTCCTTGAGAGGCATAAATATGATCGATACCTGCAATGTGTCTCTCACTTGCACCAAGAAGCATTACAACATGAGCATCATGGCCACCATCATGCATCTTCATGTCCACCCTGCTCTTACTACTCCCATTCAATCATTTCCTGGAGCAATTCCAAACAAAATGGATGTTAAGTTCTGGCCAAATGATCACAAATTCAACACCGTATGAACCCCCATAACCTGAAAACGAAAAGGATGATAAATTCAATCTCATTAAACTTCTAGTCATTACAAAGAAGGACCAAAGCACCATGAAAATGACTTTAACATTCCCTCCGGAACAACACAAACTTTCTGTGAACTAAAATATGTGATGACTGAATGAGACCTCAATTATGTCTCAGTTCAGCATTCAGACATCATCGGTTGAAATAAAAACAAAACCAATCAAGATTCTGAAGTAGTTTAGCCGCTGACTTTACCCTTCTCATTGATTTTAAGAGACTTTAGAATTATGGTGTGTTTTTCTAATCCACCTTCCTATCAAACCCCGAGAGCTCAACTCTCTTATGTGCAAGTACGATTCCAGTAAAGATGAATTCAACCACACATTAGAGAGCTCATGTGAAGACAACTCAAACTTGACATGTAATAGAAAGAAAATAAATTCATAATTACACGCTACTAGGTTCTTCTCCATGATTAGTTCAAATGCATGTAAGCGATCTCAGGATTCTAAGTATAGAGAAACAATTACCACATCTTCCTTAAAAAAGACAATCCCAAGCAGCAGGGTTTTTTTCGTTGAGATGAAAATGCAGCAAATTCAGACAGAAGATAGAGCATTTACCTCACCATGTCCTGTAAAAAGCGTCTTCATAGCCTGCATAACCATGAATTATTAACATGTGAGATGTGGAATGTTTCATCAGTGACTATTAAGAGACACGAATACCTGCAACATCATTCCGTCCTAAGTACCAACTATTACATCATCAAGGTCAACCCAATAGAACATAATTCATATGACAAACACTACACGTGAAGGTACCACTACAGGCGATTAGTTCTCCTTTTCGGTACTCGATTAGATTCATGGAAGCGAAGGGGAATACGACGGTTCGGTTAAGGTCGTAGGGATCAGATTCACTGAAAGTGAGAACAACGAAAAAGATAGAACAAACACTTGAACCCTGATAACCACTAAAAGTCAGCAAAGAACAACACCTAAAAGTTAGCAAAGAACAACACAGAAAACTCAAGCAAATAGGCTAGTGGAGGCTTGCCCTGGCTACAGGAAACTAAATAAATGGCTATCCAAATCAACCCAAAATTCCCATAAAGAAACTATATTCCTCGTGTCGGAGATTCCTTCAAGCCTCATCCCCTTTCTATTCTTGCAAGCCCGAGGCCCGGCCAATCCTACTCACTCTAGAGAAACACAAGAGTGCAGGACCTCTCCGCCGTTGTTTCCCCCTACTACAGTACTCAACACAGTAAGCATTCTCTAACTTCTAAATTAGATCTATATGAGAGTATTAAAGGATGCAGAGGTTCCAATCTAGATGTCCTACTAAATCGATGATACATGACCATCATTGTCCATCAGACTGAAACATTTGCTAGCAAGTCACACCCTAAACCAATAAAAAAAACATGCATCTCAAGCTCACGGCCTAGTTAACAACTTCACCGTGTTCTTATGCAATCACAGAAACATAAATTGAAGCACAAAAGAGGAAGATTTCAGCATGGAAGCCAAACTGACCGAAGCATGATCATGATAATTAGCAATCAAGATGGCAGTAGTAGTCTCAGCTTTAGTTCGTGGATCTGATTGGCTGGGATGCCTTTTCAGACCTGGGGCAGACCTACTGTAAGACACGGACATGGACGAAACGGCAGGTACTGAGGCCTTATCTCAACTTCTTTCCCCAAGCAGCGATCTAGTCAAACTCGAGTAGCCATC